CCACCCTGCCATGGAGACCCTTTTGTTAGAAAACCAGGTATGTAACAAGCCATAGACAGCCAGACATAGAGCTCATGGTGGTTTAGAATGACCTGGTTATAGGATGTCCTGACCTTAAACCTTCACCTCCTCAGTTTCTCCTTTGACCCTTAAAAAAAAAACACTTAAAGCCCCAAAGACTGTCCTTGGCTCTTTAGTGTCCTATAATCTATCAAAATCTGGCTACTGCTGGGAAGTCATCAAAAATACAAAAAAAAAAAAAAAAAAAAACACAAGCAAGACGCTCCTGGATGGACCCCTGCGATGTGGCCATTACTCAACTCTTTCTGAACTTTGCATGACCTTCAATGAAGATGTTCAAAACATATCAACACAACCACCTTTGGTTTTCTCCCATGCTATAAGCCAGTGTTTCTCAACCTTTTTTCAGTCAAGGCACCCTTTAAAATTATGGACAGTCCCGAGGCACCCTTTAAAATTATGGACAGTCCCGAGGCACCCTTTTAAAATTATGGACAGTCCCGAGGCACCCTTTAAATTTATGGAGAGTCTTGAGGCACCCTTGGCTCTTTAGTGTCCTATAATCTATCAAAATCTGGCTACTGCTGGGAAGTCATCAAAAATACAAAAAAAAAGCCACAAGCGAGATGCTCCTGGATGGACCCCTGCGATGTGGCCATTACTCAACTCTTTCTGAACTTTGCATGACCTTCAATGAAGATGTTCAAAACATATTATCAACACAACCACCTTTGGTTTTCTCCCATGCTATAAGCCAGTGTTTCTCAACCTTTTTTCAGTCAAGGCACCCTTTAAAATTATGGACAGTCCCGAGGCACCCTTTAAAATTATGGACAGTTCCGAGGCACCCTTTTAAAATTATGGACAGTCCCGAGGCACCCTTTAAATTTATGGAGAGTCTTGAGGCACCCTTGGCTCTTTAGTGTCCTATAATCTATCAAAATCTGGCTACTGCTGGGAAGTCATCAAAAATACAAAAAAAAAGCCACAAGCGAGATGCTCCTGGATGGACCCCTGCGATGTGGCCATTACTCAACTCTTTCTGAACTTTGCATGACCTTCAGTGAAGATGTTCAAAACTTATCAACACAACCACCCTTGGTTTTTCCCATGCTATAAGCCAGTGTTTCTCAACCTTTTTTCAGTCAAGGCACCCTTTAAAATTATGAACAGTCCCGAGGCACCCTTTAAATTTATGGAGAGTCTAGAGGCACCCTTGGCTCTTTAGTGTCCTATAATCTATCAAAATCTGGCTACTGCTGGGAAGTCATCAAAAATACAAAAAAAAGCCACAAGCAAGATGCTCCTGGATGGACCCCTGCAATATGGCCATTACTCAACTCTTTCTGAACTTTGCATGACCTTCAGTGAAGATGTTCAGAACTTATCAACACAACCACCCTTGGTTTTCTCACATGCCATAAGTCAGTGTTTCTCAACCTTTTTTCAGTCAAGGCGCCCTTTAAAATTATGGACAGTCCCGAGGCGCCCTTTAAAATTATGGACAGTCCCGAGGCACCCTTTTAAAATTATGGACAGTCCCGAGGCACCCTTTAAATTTATGGAGAGTCTTGAGGCACCCTTGGCTCTTTAGCGTCCTATAATCTATCAAAATCTGGCTACTGCTGGGAAGTCATCAAAAATACAAAAAAAAAAGCCACAAGCAAGATGCTCCTGGATGGACCCCTGCAATGTGGCGATTACTCAACTCTTTCTGAACTTTGCATGACCTTCAGTGAAGATGTTCAGAACTTATCAACACAACCACCCTTGGTTTTCTCGCATCCTAAAGCCAGTGTTTCTCAACCTTTTTTCAGTCAAGGCACCCTTTAAAATTATGGACAGTCCCAAGGCACCCTTTAAAATTATGGACAGTCCCGAGGCACCCTTTAAAATTATGGAGAGTCTAGAGGCACAATTGGCTCTTTAGTGTCCTATAATCTATCAAAATCTGGCTACTGCTGGGAAGTCATCAAAAACACAAAAAAAAAAGCCACAAGTGAGATGCTCCTGGATGGACCCCTGCAATGTGGCCATTACTCAACTCTTTCTGAACTTTGCATAACCTTCAGTGAAGATGTTCAGAACTTATCAACACAACCACCCTTGGTTTTCTCACATGCTATCAGTCAGTGTTTCTCAACCTTTTTTCAGTCAAAGAACCCTTTAAATTTATGGAGAGTCTTGAGGCACCCTTGGCTCTTTAGTGTCCTATAATCTATTAAAATCTGGCTACTGCTGGGAAGTCATCAAAAACAGGGGCGGACTGACCATTTGGAAACTCGGGCACTGCCCGAGGGCCCAGGGTCAGTAGGGGGCCCCATGAGATGCCCTTGCTACCTTTTCATAGGCTTTTTTGAGTTTGGGCAAGGACACAGGGGCCCCATGATCCCCTATTGCCCGGGGCTCCATGAGTTGTCAGTCCGCCCCTGGTGTCAGGGTTCTTCTTTGGGGTTCCAATGTTACTGCCTGTTGATATCTCCTCATTGGGTCCCTTGGCTGGGTCTTTACAAGGTCCTGTAGACCTCAGCAGTTGTGTGATGACTTCATGGCTAGAGGTGTCAACAAGATTGGCAAGTCACGAAGTCAGAATCTGCAGCAGGGGCTAATAAGTGCCATGTGATTGTAAACACAGCCAAAAACTGCACAGGCACCAGGATTTGCATGACTATGTAATCTCTGAGCTTGATTCTCATCCCAGGAAGTAGATGGTGGCCCTGGATGATGCCTGATCAACGACGGCATCATTCATCTGAATTAGATGGGAAGTGCTGTGATCTCCGAGAGAGGTAATAAATACCGGGAAGTGTAACACTGACACATTACTTAGCATGCTGCACTTAACATGAAACAAAATATGTAAAGGCCGAGTCTACTTTAAATTTGCAATATGGTGGATGTAACAGAATGAGTGAGACTCTATGGTGGGTCGTGGCAAAGGTGAGTCCTCCAAAAGAGAGATTTTGACGCTGGAGCCCCCAAGAAAATCAATGGTCAAAATAGAATGTGCATCTCCTATAAGGAATTTATAGATTTTGATGACAGCTTGTAAAATAATTATAGATAGTAGCCAGAATAAATGATTACACTGTGAAATTTGAAACAATTTTATTCCGCTTATTCAATGAAAATCAATAAGATGTATAGCCTGTACAGTGATACATTCATTTATTCTGTCAGACATTGAATCAAAAAGATGTTGGATGGCTTCTTGAGGAATGTTATTCCAAGATTGTATCACTTAGACAGTCAGTTCTTCAAAAGCCTGGAGGTCACTGGTACTGATATCTCTGCTAACCATAAGCCCGGCAGACGCTGGGTATATCAGGTGACTTGGAGGACCAATTCATGTCTTGTGTCAAGTGTTTGCCTAATGATCGCTCTGCTATGAGGCTAGGTGTGAGAAAATGGCTGTTGTGTTAATGGATGGACATATCCTTTACATAGACTTTGCAGATGCAGAAAGCTCGGCGCTCGGCACAAGTGCAGGGCTCTCCATCAGATCTTTAATCCTTGGCCGATTCAGCCTCATCCTGTGGTTCCTCGATGGCTTTCGAGTCTGTTTTAAAGGTATATGAGACCCAGAGATTTGCCTTTTTCATAGTACTAAGCTTTCAGTTAAAAAATACAAAGAATCTAGTTTATTGTATTATTTATTTATTATTATTATTTATTATTTATTTATTACATCAAGTTTATATAGCGCCAAAGGGTTTGCTCAGCGCTGTACAATAGGGGGGACAATACATGGCACAGTACAACAAAAACAGACAGCGTACGAGGGGTAAGAGGGCCCTACTCTTTCAAGTTTACAATCTAGGAGGGAGGGGGTAGTGGAACAATAGGAAGTGGCTGAGGGGAATGAAGTGGCTGAGGGGGATGAAGTGGTGGGAGGAATGAGGGAGGATGGCCGTTAGGTGAGGGTGGGGTTGGCTTCCCTGAAGAGATGGGTTTTGAGGGAGCGCCTGAATGTGGGGAGGGAAAGCGACAGTCTGATGGATTAGGGCAGTGAGTTCCAGAGGATAGGGGAGGACCTGGAGAAGTCCTGCAGTCGTGTATGGGAGGAGGAGACCAGGGAGCAGGATAGAAGGAGGTCCTGTGAGGAGCAAAGGGTACGAGTAGGGTGGTACTTGGGGATCAGGTTGGTGTGAGGTAGTCAGGGGCAGTGTTATGAACGGCTTTGTAGGTCAGGATTAGAAGTTTAAATTTGATGCGTTGGGCAATCGGGAACCAGTGGAGGGAGAGGCAGAGGGGGGTGGCAGAGGTGGAGCGGGTGGTAATTGTATTATTTGTAAATAATTGTATTATTTGATTGTAGCAAAGAGACTGATACCCAAGTATTGGAGGAGACAGGAGGTGCTGAAAATAAAGGACAGGTTGGGTAGGGTGGATCAAATATGTAAATTGGAGGAACTTTATCATCTGATTGAAGATAGGATGGAGAGTCACCATACAAGATGGAACAAATGGGAGGAATTCAAAAATCAAGGCTAGCCTTAGAGGTTATGGGGGGATTAACATAGAATAATATGGAAATATATTTTGTTCTTCTTTTATAGGGATTATGATCTCCAGAAATGTACAGGAAAATGCAGAGCAGAAGGGGTCAGGGATTGGATGGGGGGGGGGCGGGGGGGCGGGTGGTAAATGGCGGGGGGGGGGGAAAGGGATGAAACGATAAATGTTTTGATAATAAGCTAAGGTTTTAACGAGTGTGTTTGTATAACTTGTTTCTCTGAAAAATTAATAAATAGATAAATTTAAATAAATAAATAAAGGTATATCAATACAAGAAATTTAGGTGGAACTGTAAAATCAGAGACACCATAAAAAAGGAACTCAGTAAAGATTCAGTCCACTAGCTCACCGATTTAGGTGTTGACTGTACCCTGAAACCGGGGCGGATTGACCATTTGGAAACTCGGGCACTGCCCGAGGGCCCGGAGTCAGTAGGGGGTCCCATGAAATCCCCCTTGTACCTTTTTCATAGGCTTTTTTGAGTTTGGGCAAGGACACAGGGGCCCCATGATCCCCTATTGCCCGGGGGCCCCATGAGTTGTCAGTCTGCGCCTGCCCTTAAACATACACAGAAATATTTCCAAGGAAAGAACCCTTAGAGAAAGAAGGTACTGTATGCCATCCAGGTAGTTTGACTAAAAAGAGACTCTACCTGGATTGTATACAGTACTTTCTTTCTCTAAGGGTTCTGTTTTTAAAGGTAGACTGCTCGGCTGTTGATGATCTTCTATGTTTCTTGCTATTCTCTAGGTGATGGTGTCCACCATGTTGTGATTTTGGGCATGCAGTGGTCTGGTAGGTGCAGGTGATGTCCAGCTAGCCAAACCTCTGATCGGTGACAATATCTTCTAGCTTCTACATACCACTGCATTTCAAGATAACCTTGTTTGTCATACCTTCTCTGTATGTGATGCTCCAAAATTTCCATGGACATCTTTGGTGAAATGAGTTCAATTTTGGAGCAATTTGTTTGTTATCTTCCAACATTCTCTAGAGCAGGGGTCTCCAAACTTACTAAACAAAGGGTGATTTTTTTGTCCTTCAGACATTAGGAGGGCTGGACTATCGCTATTAGGGGTAGAAAATGCCTCACCTTTCGTATTATGGGAGGAATAGTAACACATTGTTGGTGTCATTAGGAGGAATAGTACCCCATCATTGGTATCAGTGAAAAGAATAGGTTCTCTGTCGTTGGTATCAGTGGGAGGAATAATGCCCCATCATTGGTGTCAGAGAGAGGAATAGTGCCACATCATTGGTGTCAGAGAGAGGAATAGTGCCACATCATTGGTATCAGTGAAAAGAATAGGTTCCCTGTCATTGGTATCAGTGTGAAGAATAGTGCCCCATCATTGGTATCAGTGGGAGGAATAGTACCCCATCATTGGTATCAGTGGGAGGAATAGTGCCCCATCATTGGTATCAGTGGGAGGAATAGTGCCCCATCACTGGCATCAGTGGGTGGAATAGTGCCCCATCATTGGTATCAGTGGGAGGAATAGTGCCCCATCATTGGTATCAGTGGGAGGAATAGTGCCCCATCATTGGTATCAGTGGGAGGAATAGTGCCCCATCACTGGCATCAGTGGGTGGAATAGTGCCCCATCATTGGTGTCAGTGGGAGGAATAGTGCCCCATCATTGGTATCAGTGGGAGGAATAGTGCCCCATCATTGGTGTCAGTGGGAGGAATAGTGCCCCATCATTGGTGTCAGTGGGAGGGATAGTGCCCCATCATTGGTGTCAGTGGGAGGAATAGTGCCCCATCATTGGTATCAGTGGGAGGAATAGTGCCCCATCATTGGTGTCAGTGGGAGGAATAGTGCCCCATCATTGGTGTCAGTGGGAGGAATAGTGCCCCATTATTGGTGTCAGTGGGAGAAATACTGTTCTATCGTTGCTATCAGTGGGAGGAATAGTGCCCCATCATTGGTATCAGTGGAAGGAATAGTGTCCCATCATTGGCGTAAGTGGAAGGAATAGTGCCCCATCACTGGCATCAGTGGGTGGATTAGTGCCCCATTATTGGTAAGGCCTTTATTTAAAACAAACAAAAGCAAAAAAAATGGTTCCATCATTGTAATCCATCGTCATTCTTCATGGCAGGATCGTTATTTTCTTAACCAACAACACCACCATGTTATCAATTAACTCTCTGATTATCTTTTGCCTTGACCACGGCAACTGCCTTCTCACTGGCCTATCCTATGCAGGCTATCCTCTCTGTATTCTATTACGAATCGTGTTTTTAGAGGATTCTATAAGTATAGTGGGAAAGAGAACTAAGCAGGCAGCCTGAATATTTATAGACTTTAACCAATCCCTGGAGAGATGTGCCCAGAAGGCGGTGAGAGAGCCCATAAATAGTCTGAGGCCTGAGCATCAAGGGCAGTGTTCCTGGGTCCAGTCCTGGAGGAGGGGACCCCTGTGTAGAGGCTCTGCCCCCTGCTGCAGGATTCCTAGAGAAAGCTTTGAGGAAGACACTGAGTTCCCAGTTAGGCTTATCTGGGAGGGCTATTTGCAGATCTGTGTCTGGAGATTAAGTTAGGTCTGGAGGAAGCTTGCTAGATAGAGCCAGGAGGAGGCGCATGGGAAAGAATTCAGTTGTCCTGTGATATTATGAGTCTATATTTCCCTCATTAGGAAGAGCTCGGTGAATATTGGCAGGAGGCAACTGATGATCTTGTGGTTGTGTGAGTAGAAGACCCCATTGCTGAAGGAAATTGACTGTATGTGGGTTTTAACTCTAGGAAGAGTACAGGTCACCATCAGCATAGAGATCCTGAAGGACATTGAGTATGTCACAGTGCAGCCAATAGCATGTGTAGTGCAGCCATAAATTGAAGGTGTCAGTAATCCAAAGTCGAGGGTCTGTAGTACAAGGTCTTATTCTGAAGCCTGGGTGTGTTCTTGGAGAAAGCATTCCTCCATGGATGGAATTCCAAGAGCCCTGCTACTAGTACCTCAGCCACCAAGCAGACAGATAGATGTGAGAGCCATCCAACTTGGGGTTCGCCCCGAAGACACCAGCCACTGAGTAATGCCACTAATAGACCTTTATTCTCATGGACTTTACCTTTGCAGGTATGCAGGGGCAGCACATAGCCTGAGTAGGATTAAGGATTAGGGATTTATGATAAAGATTGTTCTTTTGCTGTACTTTGTACCGTTTGCACTTTATCCAGTAAAGCTTTAAAAGTTTGCCTTCTGCCTGGGCTGAAGTTCTTTAAAGGAGTGAAATGCAAGTAATCGGCACCTATTATCTAAGGTTTGGGTCACTAGCAGAAAGCAGCCTGTCGAAAATGCGTACCTGTTATAGGTGGAATTGCCTCTAGCCACGAGGGAGATGTTGTCTGCAATTCCTACAAAGCATTCCATCCCCCATAGTAACCGGAGCGGAACTGCACTGCAGAGATTCTCATCCTGTACAGAGGTACAGAAAGTCAAGTGCCCATTAGAGCCTGCGCTATGTGGATGGTGGTTGGAAGCGTGAAGTAGAGTGACCGTGTTACAGGCCCTTAGCGTACCCCAGAAGAACTCTCCCCAGGGGTAGTCCTAGCATGTAATCCAGACTTGGCACCCAACGAGTTAATGAGGAACATGGAGGAAGGTCCATTATCAGCTAACTCCTTTGCCCTGCGGCCAACAAGCTCCTTATATTATACAATATTTTATGGGACTATACTTTTCGTTTTATTCTGAATAATTTATATTGATATTTTCTAATAAGGATTGATATTCTATTAGTCATTTTAGATTACGATATATTATTTATGTGCTGCACCTCTTTCTGATTTGATTGTAAAGGTTCGTCTTTTATTTTTTTTAAAATAACAAACAAGTCGTACGTACCTGCTCTGTGTAATGGTTTTGCACAGAGCATCCCTGATCCGCCTCTTCTCTGGTTCCCGTGGTTAAGGTGGTACCACCAGTCCTCCTGTACGTGGCACAGGCCAGCATGGGGGCCCAGGAAGCTGGGTGAATTGGATGTGGGCAGGAAGGGTGATCAAGGCAATTACTGGAACTGATCCCCTGTATGTTTCTCTCTGAAGCAGCTGAAAGCTGGCTTTTCCGCCCCCCCCCCCCCCCCCCCCCCCCTCCCCCCTCCTCCCCCTCTGGCTAGTTTTCAGCTGCTGCAGAGAGAAACATACAGGGGATCGGTTCCAGTAACTTTCCAGCCCCTTCCATTCCTGAATGAACCCAATGAGTTTTCGGTACCGATCACTCGCTGTGTATATTCATAACTGAAGTATAGTAAACTGTGGTTTTTTTTGGGGGGTTTATTGGGGGGCCCTGTTAGGTCAGCTGTATGGAGCCCTGTGGTTTTGGGGAGCCCTATCAGGTTGGCTGTAAGGGGCCCCTGTGGTTTCTAACAGCAGCCCTGCCGCTGGCCTCTCCCTCTTGCCAATTGCCCCCATAGCAATCGGCTTGCTCTGGGGGCACTCATGCATGCTTCTTCCCAAGCTGGCTCTGAGTGTCAATAAGCCCTGCTCCCTCCTCACTGGCCTTGATTGACAGTAGTGGGAGCCAATGGCTCCTGCTGCTGTATCTCAGCCAATGAGGAGAGGGAGAACTGGGGAGAGCCTTTGCTCTGGTGCACAGCACTGGATCGAGATGGCGCTCAGGTAACTATTAGGGGGGGGGGGCTGCTAGCAGAAGGTGTTTTTTACAGTGAATTACGGTGAAAAACCTTGAACCTTTACACCCATTTTAACCCCTTGGCGCCAGCACCTCCCGACCCTTTAAGGGTTCCAGAAGCCTGGAGGCGGGGTTTAAGGGTCATGTGACACATGATCGGGAAAGGTTCCGATTGAAAGAGGAGATCAGGACCTTTCCGTGAGTACCGAACGTGCGTGCTGGGAACGCGCAGGGCGCGCGCTCTCAGCACATATGTTTTTTTTTTTTAATAGTACGCAAATGTGTGGCCGCTCGCCGTCTAGGCCCAGACGCCGGGAGGCCACACATTTGCGTTCATCCGGCGCCCAGAAGTTAAGTTAAAAAATATATACATTTTCGAGTAAATGAACTTCCAGCGAAGAGACCTACGAGAACCCGAAGTGCGTCTCTTTTTTCAAATAGCGCTTTCAGCTCTTAAGAGCCAACTTTTTTTTTTTTTTTTTTTTAAATTTGTCTGGATTGCGTTTGTATCGGTAAAAGTGACCTAGGAGTGACACAAGTCTATTACATCAAGAAAGGACGCGCTAAAATTGACTGGGTCGGTCTTCTTATTTTAGATTGATGTGCCAGCTTCTAGTACGATTAGAAGAATGGATAACTCACTAACATCTGTGAAAACTACAATAAAAAGGGATTTAGTGTTACCCCAAGGACGGCAGAAGAGGCTTTGTGTCCATTAAACTCTTTATTACAGCGCCGGCAGCCTTTTCTGTAACTAAGTTATTCCTGTACACAGCTTAGCGCTCGAGCTGCCTGTCATCTTGACTAGACAGCGCTCGGGCTGCAAGACTTTTTCTTTTTTTTTTTTTTTTTTTTTATAGAACTAGATGACAGTCAAATGAGTCACCGACAGAAGAC